CTCAAACACACACACACACACGCACACACGCACGTACACACACACGCACACACACGCGCACACACACACACACACACAAACACACACACACACCCACGGCCCCGCAGTCCGCGCGCGCCATCCCGCGGCGCGTGGTGTACGTGCCGGCCTGCGTGACGCGCATGATGGGGCCCAGCAGCTCGGACTACGAGACCGCCTCGGTCCACGAGAAGCTCATGAGCCTCTTCTCCAAGGGCGGGTGAGCGCAGGGGCACACACTGCAACCCCAAATACCACCTTGAATCTTCGCCTTCTGCCCTGTGCTCTGTGCCCTCCCTGCCTTCCCGTCTCGCTTTGCGCACACAGCAAGTGCAAGATCGGGGCGATCGGCGGCGCCGCTTTGCCCGCCCGCGCGGCATACTGGCTTGGCTGTGGCGATCGCGCGATCGGGGCGGGACGACGCGGTGTCTGACGGTCTGCGCCCGCACGAAAACCCTCCCCCCGGCAGCTACGAGGTGATCTACCCCAAGAACCTGTCGTCCCAGTGCTGTGGCATGATGTTCAACAGCAGGGGCCTCAAGGACGCGGCGGCCAAGAAGGGCGCGGTGCGTTTCTTGGACCCGTTCCCCCGCCGCCTGGGCCCTCACTCAGTGCGGCGTCGCCCGCATCCGCCCCTACGCCGTGCCATCGGTGTGCCGTCGGCGTGTGCAGTCGCGCGCGCGCGACCGTGCGTCCTCTGCTGCTTTGGCCGGGTCCCCGTTAGTGGTAGCACGGGCTCTTCCGCGCTCTGTTGTGTTTGCCCTGCACGCCCTCGACCTGATCGATCCCATGGCGCCTCCCCTCGCCCCGTTGGAAACCCCCCAGGAGCTGGAGGCGGCGCTGATGGAGGCCAGCGAGGGGGGCAAGATCCCCATCGTCTGCGACACATCGCCCTGCCTCTCACAGATCAAGGTGCGCCCCCGCGGCTCACGTGATTCACGTGCCGCCGCAACGGCCTGTCTTGTCACAGCCTGGGCTCCTCCTCGCAGTCGTCCCTTCCTGCGCGATCACAATCCGACATTCAAAAGGCCGCCGGGCTCGTGCGCCCCCGTGTCGCCGCCGCCTGACGCCCCCACGCCCTCAAGCGCCCCCCGCCCCCGCCCCTCTCCCTTTGCCCCCAGGCGGGCATCAGCGAGCCGAGCCTGCGGTTTGCGCTGTACGAGCCCGTTGAGTTCATCCGCCACTTCCTGGTGGACAAGCTGGAGTTCAAGAAGGTGGGTTTTCTAGGGGGAGTTGCTTGCATGGGTTTGAGTTACGAGCGTGTGTGTGTGTGTGTGTGTGTGTGTTGCGCAAGTATGAGCGTGCATGTCTGCAGTTCGTGGCTGCGCTAAGAGGCGGCTGCCAGCGGCTTTGGGCATCTGTGGTTGGGAGCGGTCGGCACAAGCCGGTCGGGTGTGCGTCTGTGCGCAAACCCGTGACTGATACAGCTGTTGACATGAATTCGCCACGCATTTGTGTGTCCATTGCAACACCCCTGTACCCCCTTCGGCGCCCACCCCTGCGGGCGACGCCCTGCGCCCGCGTTGCCTCCTGGCCTGGCCTGCTCCTCCCAACCGGCCCCCCCCCC